TATATATATATATATATATATATATATATATTACTACTCTCTTTTTATACATAATCCAAATATATATTTTACTCATAGATTTCCTTCTATATTAGCTAGAAATATGGAGGTAAAAAATTAATTAAAAACTAGAATAAAAAAAATAAAAAAATATAGAAAGACATAAATTGAGATAAACTATGACTATTTGTACTTTGGAGCTATAAAATAAAACTAAAATTTACTTACGATATTAAAAATTTATTGAGTTTAAAAATTAAATAAATTCAAGCAGCAAATTAAAATCTTACATAAAGTATACAAATTACTTATAAGGTAAGAAAAATTAAATAATCAAGAAAAAATAGTTTAATAACAAGAATAACAAAGTCATATTAAGATTGATAAATCATGCAAACGAATATTTTATACATAAATATTACTGCAACATTTAGATATAATGTGTTCAAATAATTAAGAAAATATTTTTCTATGATTAATATTTGAATTGAGTGCAGTTAGTTTAAATTTGAAAGCATAACATACTTTTTAAAAATGTGGTCCAAATTAGAAAATAGAATGATAAAAATTATTTGAATTTGAGATGAGAAAGTTTTAAATTTTTTATCAATATTATATTAGAATGAATGTGGTATAAATAGATATTAAATTCAAACAAGCTAATAAAAATTCACATTACAATGTAATAATATTAGTTATTTAATAATTTAATATTAAAAATAAATAATAAATAGAGAAAAAATTAAAATTCAGATTTTTTATTATAGAGAAAAGGGTAAAACTTATTTAAATTTTAGATGAGAAATTTTTTTATATTATGATAAGAAAGTCATAATATGGATAAGTCCACATAACTCAAGTCTAATAGATAAAATCAAAAACTAAAATATTGAATAATAAAAATAAATTAGAGATAATGTGTGGAAATTTGTAAATTATAAGTTTAGAAAATAACATAAATGTAAATATGCAATACTTAAAAAAATTCAAATTTTCAAGAAATATTTTAAAAACAAAATAAATATTTATTTTATGATTACAAAAATTTATATATATTAATAAATAGAGAAAAAATAAAAATTTAGATTTTTTATCATAGAGAAAAGAGTTAAATTTATTTAAATTTGAGATGAGAAAGTTTTTTATATTATGATGAGAAAAGTCATAATATAAATAAGTCCACATAACTCAAGTCTAATAGATAAATTCAAAAACTAAAATATTGAATAATAAAAATAAATTAGAGATAATGTGAGGAAATTTGTAAATCATAAGTTAAGAAAATAAAAAAAATGTAAATATACAATACTTAAAAATATTATTAAAACTTAAAAAATTTNAAAACTATATATTATATTAAAAAATAGCAAAATTTTATTAAATTATTAAAAATTTACTATTAGAAAGAAAGGGAAAGACTATTTGAATTTGAGATTAGAAAGTTCTTAAAACTATGTTGAGAATGCTCAAACTATGGAGAACCACGAAATTACAGTCTTATTTATGAAAAATAAAAAAATAAATACATATTTAAAAATACATAAAATAGGTACTAATGAAAATTAGAAATTAAATTTGAATCTTAAAACTGAAAAAGTAAAAAGTTTACGTAAAGAAATAAAATGGCAGTGAAAATATTACTACAACATTTAGATATAATGTGTTCAAACAATTAAGAAAATATTTTCCTATGATTAATATCTGAATTGAATGCAGTTAGTTTAAGTTTGAAAGCATAGCATAATATTTTGAAAATGCGGTCCAATTTACAACATAGAATGATAAGAATTATTTAAATTTAATATGAGATTTTTTTTATTTCATAATTTTTTTTATTTTTGAAAATATCACGTAAAGAAATAAAACAGTAAAAATATTAGTACAATATTTAGATATAATGTGTTCAAACAATTAAGAAATATTTTTCTATGATTAAATTTAAATTCTAAAAATATAAATTAATTTCTAATATAGGTAATTTTACTAATGATAATTAAAAATTAAATTTGTATCTTAAAGCTAAAAAGAAAAAGAAATTTAACTGCATCTAATACAAAAATAATTATAAGAGAACTCAATATATTTGGAACGTAATAATCAAATAACTTATGTATTAATATTTTAGACTAATTCAAAGCTACAATTTAAAATAAAATATTATATTATTTTGGTTATAGGTAAAATATTAATATAAAAACTATTTAAAATATAGTAGGGAAGAGATGTATAAAAAAATAAAGGTAGTGTGATTTATACTTTAAATTAATTGAAAAATAAATAAATTAAATAATTAAATTATATTTAAAAATATTACTGATAAATTTAAATGATTAAAAAATTCCGAATAAGAGGATACAAGCATAAAAATATACCAAATTTCAAGAATAAAATATTTATATTTATTAAAACTATTAAAAAGATAATAAGCAAGGTATTAATTAAATTATTAAGCTAATAAAAAATTATATGACAGTATAATAATATTAAATAATAAATAATACAATAACTATAAGAAAAGAACAAAAATAAAAAAGAATTTGCATAAAATGATGTGATGAATAAGACATATTTGACTTTCAGTCAAAAACAAAGTGATAATAAGAATTTTCTTAAAATAATTCGATATAATGTGCTCAAACAACACATATCACAACATGACATATTTAGTATTTTTTAATATTGATACCGAAACGAAATACAAGTACTAAAATCAAGGGATTAGGTTGCTACAAATAAAATAAAAGTTGTCTACTACGAGATTTGAATAATAATTTCATATCTTGCTTCAAAATTAATATCTAATGTTATATAATTTTTATATGAAAGGTTTATATTTTAAGGTTATTTGCACATATTCAAATAACATAGATTACAATTTGACATAATTTGTGTCAGCGCATTGCGCGGGTACTAATACTAGTATATGTAATGATCAATCCTAAAGAAGGAATACTGAGAATATTACATAAGAAAATTCTATTGATAAATTGATTAATTCGACGTACCTCTTGTTGGTTATGATTTAATGCTGATCATAGTTTGATTCCCTTTCGGCTGATGATAATAACTAATTGCAATTTTTGTCCCTTTTTCTTCTTTTAGGGAAGCAACATAGTTAACAAGATTTTTCCTTCATAAAACTAAACTAAACAAGGAACAGCTAACGACATTAAAATGGCAACTGAACATGTCATTGTTTCACTTTTCTTCAGCGTCAACTTAACTAATCCCCTAGCAAATACTTATCCGCACTTAATATTTATATCAAATCAAACAATTTAATCTTAGCAGATAAATTTTAATAGGAACTATGCGAACAGTATTACTCCAAATAGAAAGCTTTCTCCTATCTTCAAATGCAAAAAAGCTATTCTAAATCTAGTAAACCCTAAACATTTTTATGAACGAAAAGCAAAAGCAAATTCTCGTTATGATGAGCGAGTTGGAGTTGTCATTCCACCCAGATGTTGATTGGAGTATTATATTGTATATTTGTCAGCTGAACTTTTTTAATCTTCATTGTTTACTTCATACTAGTTCTTACTACTATAAAATTTGATGTGTGTATTAATTTCTATTATATTTATTGCAAATTATATGGTAATGAGTCTAGCACCTCCCAACAAAATATTAATTGCTTCTTTATTGTCATTAATGGCAGTTTTTGACTGGACAGTGTGTTTAAGGGGAAAAAATGTCTTTTCTTGTAGTCAAGGAGTTGCACCAGCTTCGCATTAGCTATTGAATTGGGGAATTCGCATTGATTTGGGTACAATATTACATTAATTAGGTTGACCTCAAATATTCTATGCAGACATGGTGGGTAAACAAGCATTATATTCTCCGTTTTCCACAAATAAAATTTTCAATGCTAGATGGCATGAGTTGTGTATTGTGAAACTGTCACGTAGCTCGTTTTCCTTGTGGATATATGCCCGTATTCTACTGATGGCATGAGCTGTGTCTACAGACCAATATTTATTACTCTTGACTTTGTTTCTTTTGGTTGATGATTTAAAGCTTGACCTATAAATGCTTCAATAACTTTTAGACGCATCGCAAAAAGTAGAATGGCACTGAAACGTGATCAGCAAAACCACTTTATCGTTGTATTTAGTGTGTCAATATACAGTTAAAAAAAGAACCAATCTTTCAGGGAACATCTTTAGGGGTGTCAACCCCTCCCACTAGCATATATTTGACGCAGAATAGAAAGGAACTAAAAAAGAAACCAAAAAATACCACAGCCCGGATATTGCAGGACTGCTGTGTCTGAAAACCATATATATCTAGGCTTCCAGGTGCTGGAACCTTAACAAAACATAGATAAGCCAGATGGTAAAGTTGCTCCACTATCAAGACCATCCTTGACACATTTCACCAAAAGAGCAACTGAAAATGTCTGCCACCTGGCGTCAATATCAAAAGAATATGTTCAAAGGAGAGGAAATCCGAAGCTTACCCTACAAGCCAAAAAGTTGCACGCTTCCTCCTGTTGCATCACTTTTTCGGACCTTTTGAAGTCATTGCCACAAGCTTATGACCTCCTCCATTTCTCCAAACACCACGCACAGGCAAACCTTCAGGAGGGTCACTTTGCTCATCTGATATCTCTTTTCGATCTGGATCCACATCAGGGTCTGAACTTTTGAGATTTAAAAGTGTTTCAACAGATCCATCACCTAAGCGAACTCTGTAAAACTTTGAGGTTTTCTTCCGCTGCTTGCTTTTCCCATCGTTATTCCCTGAACTGTGATTTGACTCATCTCTGGCAGACAAACCATTCTGCCGGGCTTGTAGCTTTAAAGATTCACCTCGGGAGTTCAGTTCTTCTGATTCACTCAGAGTCAATTTTGATTTACCTTTAGTAGAACGATACCCATCTTTTGACAACACTTCCACATCATCTTCAGGAATCTTGTGGCTGGACTGCAATTTCCTAACAGTACTTATAATATTATCAGCCATGTTACCCTTTGAAGTGTTATTTCCAGCATCTAATGACTTACCTTTACCTTTCTTAGAACTGTTACCATCTTTCAACTGATTGCCACCACTTTGAAAATTCTGTATAGGGATGGTGCCTCCTAAATTAGCATTAAAGGTGTTAACTAGTTCTTTTTGCCTCTCTGCGTCAGGGCATAGTCTAGCCAACTCAAGAATGAGGTGTGACAAGCCAAACTGCTCGACATATGCCAGATACGTCTCAGCATCCATTAAACCTTGACGATATTCTGCGGAGATGTCCTTAAATGCAGCGAATTTGTCTTGATCAAATTGTAGAGCAAGACGCATCCTTTCTACCAAAGATTTATTTGCAGTCTGAACATCTTCCACATTCGTGACTGCCTGCTGGCCACTTGCAGGAAGTTTGCGAGTCTGCGCAGCAGAGACTGGAGGAAAATCAGAGGCAGAAGAGTCAAAAGAACCACTCTGAACAAGGTTTGGGGCTGATGTGGAATGGCTAATTCTATTGCTCTGGGACCAAGACGAACCAACGGAACTAGAACAAGCTTCATGAACTAATGAAGATCGAGCAGCAACAGAACTTAAATAACTAGATGGTGGAGGCCCATCTACTGTTGACGGCTTGATCTGGCTAGAGCCTGATGTGGATCCAGTAGCGCCATTTACAGCAGGCCAAGCATGCTCACGGGTAATTACTGGTGCAGAAGGGTCGTCAGTTGATGCCTTACTATACCTGGAACTAGATGATGGCGGCTTAATCTGGCTAGAGCCTGATGATGATCCAATAGTGCCGCTAACAGCAGGCCAAGCATGCTGACGGGTAATTACTGGTGCAGAAGGGTTGTCAGTTGCTGCCTTACTATGCCTGGAACTAGACGAAGACCCAGAAGCACTACTTACCACGGGCCAGGCACGCTGATGACCAATTACCGGGGGTGTGTGACCGGTTGCTGGCCATGCTGGAGATGAACTAGAAGGCTTTGTAGTTTTGTTTTGCTTTCCGCGCAGACGGGATGCCATAGTGTTTTTAGGTAAAGCATCAGACTGAGGCCTTGGTTGATTATTAGCAGGAGGCACAGGCACAGCAAGGGGAGGAAATGAAGACTCTTGAAGCTGTGAATTTCCGGAAGCTTGAGACACAGCTTGACGATATCTTGAAGCTGGCTCAACAGAATCTGTAGCCAAAGATTCAAAGGATGCAATAAGGAAATCTTCATCATTTGTTTCCATGTGATCAGAAACTACCCTCCTATTGCTTGACGTATCATGCGGTCTTCCATCTGCATTAGCAGCCTCTAAACTGGCTTGAATGGCCATGACGAGTTCATTCTCAGAGTTATCACGCCTAAAAGATCGTCCCCTTCGACGACTATCCTGTTCATTACTGCGGCGATATCGAAAACTTGTTGGTATCTGTATAAAAATAGAAAGAAAAAAGTATAACTCACATGACTCCAACATAGTGCTCGGAATGAAATGTCAGGATAAACACAATGGAAAACTCAAATAAATGAGGCACCATGAGCACATCTTCCCCTGGGGTTTTAGGAGAAGATTGCTTAATTCCTTTATTCAAGGACAGAATTGAAACTTGCCTGCAAGGCAGCACTTCGTTGGGAACGCGACATACGACCTCCGTGCTCTAGAGTATTGTGCCTCTGAAAATTTAAACAGGAAAATAAAGCCATCAAAAAGGAAATCCAATAAAAGAAAATTAAACATCTCCATCCATGAAAAAACTATGAAATAACACAAAAGCAATAATTTGAATCTGTAAGTATGCATGTCTTTTGTGGAGCCCTTTATAATCTGCACAGCCCAACATATCCTAACCTTCAACTCAGTTTCAGATTGGAAAACAACAAACTTTTTTGCAAGACAGCTCTCATCCTCGCACAAGAAATGATTACTGCGGAAGTGGATCTGAAATGGAAAAGAAACACCAGCTTTAATTGGCATCAAAAGCAACACTCAAAGAAGTTGGGAAAGCTTCTGATGATATAACATAGTAAGACCACCTCTAGGTCATCATAATTCTTGTAGTATTCATATTGTCCAGGATGCTGCCTGCATGAAATCAATGGATAAGACCCCGTGAACTTTAATTGATCAATGATAAGTATAACCAATTTATATCATGTTACTGTACACATAAAACCACACCTCTGGCATATATGACAAGTATAATGTTCGGTCGACATATGAGAATACAGCTCATTATCCCCATAAAATGGGGTCCTACAGAATTCACAAAGAGGATGACCCATGAATCCACCTCTTTCACTTTCAGTACCATCAACCTCAGAATCACCTGTGTCTATATGCTGATTCAGCTGCGCCCTTGTGTACAGTTTCTGCTCACAGATAAATACCTGATTGACAAAGCCACCAAATCAGACATAATGTTGCTAACAAATTTGACACGCATTCATCTTACTCTTACTAGAAATACAAAATCTGTGCAAGTCCCAGAACACAACTCCTTCATAATTAGGCAAATATTTTCAGTTTGCATAAAATCCAATTCAAACAACCCAAAATATGAAGGGTTGAGTTGTTCCTCCCCTAATCCTAATTTTAGAAAGAAAAAAATTGAACACAAATTCTTCAGCCATCAATCTCATTTGTTAGAACTCACAATTACAACCAAATAACAGCATAGAGAGACCTAGTTCTAGGTTCCCAAAAGGATTCCAAATCACAGGAATAAGATTTTCCAGCTGCACCTTGAATACCATATGAGAGTGTGCGAGTATGTGTTACATGCACCATCCAGTCTACTATCTCTTCAACGTATGTGATGGTCATTCCAGCCAGTCGCATCGCAGAAACTAATTAGTGTTTGTTCCTCAAAGTAACCAATAACTATCTCCTATTAGTATTACAAACTCAATCAAATGGGCACAACGGTGCTCCCCCCCCCCCCCCATACCTTAGGTAATGCTCACACTGAGGTGGTTGAGAACCTAAGG